CCTGGATGATACGAACATCTGTTTTAGGGAGCATAGCATGTTCTTTGGGGCATGAAAGTTCTGTGTTGTGAACCCTTCCAGTCTCTTCATTTTATCCATTTTGATTTAATAGTTGTGTTAGTCTGGGTAGACTGGAGAAACAAATCCATGGACACTCTCATATGTATAGGAAAAAGCTTTCTATACAAGAGTAATTGAATATTGAGAAAACATCCAGCCTATTCCAGATCAAGTCCATAAGCCCAATATTAGACCATATGTCTGATACCAATCTATAAAGTCCTCTTCAGACTCACAAAACACATGCAATGACACCGAATGCAGAAAGATCACAGGCTAGTGGGTTGGGAGCCTTCTGGATCCAGTGGTGTTATAAGCATCTCAGCGCTGGCAGGGGTCTCTACATGGCTTCTCTGGCTCCATAGGTCTGGTTGCATCAGCGTAGGTCCATGTGGCTTCTCCAGCTCCGAGGGTGTAGCACCATGTGTCTTGTCAGTAGAGCATCTCCAAGGGAGTGAGCAGAGAGAGACACGCGTCTCCAGCCTCCAAGGAGGAAATACAGGATTTCCCAGAATTCTCAAAAGGCCATGCTCCATTGTAATTGACAGGTCAGACTTTATCCCTTCACTCGTAATCCTCTCAACAGCAGATTACGTAACTACCACAATAATTCTGTAGTCATAGTATGACCCACTTGCCAGGGAGTCAATTCTGACGTACAGTGACCCTTTATAAGAGAATAGATAGCCTCGTCTTTCTCCTCTGGAGCCCCTGGTGACTTTGAGCTGTCTACCTTTTGGTTAGACACCACCATCTATTCTCCCTAAATTCTATGAGTGGTTGCAATAAATTATTAAACTCAAAGGAATGGTGGGAGCCAGGAGCCCAGAGAGTAAAGGTATTTAATGGATTCCCATCTGGCAGCTGGCATCCTAGATATAATGGGAACCAGCCCCCACTTTTGTGGCTTGCAGGTCAGAATGTTTAGGTGTCATCTGGACTTGCTGAGCACCTGATGGACAATCTCTTTAAACTTGTGAGCGCTGTCCTAGCTCCAGCTAGCTAACATCAGAAGGAGAGTGCTTTGGGGCAGCTGGTGATGAACTTGGAGAAGTGGGTAAAGACTCATATTTTAGAGATGGATTTATACTAATCCTTATCACACACCTGTGCTTTCATTATTAAATGTGAAGAATTGGGTACAATGAGTTTTAGACATATGAATCTCCACATCAAATACCATTTTAGCCATGTTCTTCTTTTTTTCCCAATTCCAAAGGGTTTAAAATGCCCGGTATTACATTGTTTCCTAAAAAACCCAAACTAAAATTAAACCCATGACTGGCAAGTTGAATTCCAACTCAGAGTGACCCTATAGGACAGAATAAAACTGATCTGAGAAAGCTGTAAATCGTCAAGAAAATGCGCTGCCACCTTTCTCCCACAGAGCGACTTGGTGGCCTTCAAATAGCCAATCTTTCATTTAGGAGCTTAGTGCTTGACCTTTGTGCTACCAGGGGTCCTCTTTTGCTTCCTCCAAAAACTGCTAACTAACCTCCATCAAGTTGATTCTGACTTATAGTGATGCTATGGGACAGGGTAGAAATGCCCTGGTCGTTTTTGAGATTTTAATTCTTACGGGGTAGAAAGCCTCATCTTTCTCCTGCCCGTTGCCTCTTACTCACAGTAAAAGAACTATCAAAATATGCTGCCTTATACCATGGGAGCAGGCAACGTCCTTCAGAAGGTACATATTAATTTTCCAGCAGGGTACTAAATTCCAAACCTGGCCTGTGACACTTTTGATTAACACCTTGTTTTTAAAGTATTCTAAAGTGATGCTTTTAGTTCTACAAGCACCATTTGTTTACTACAGGCTCCATCAGTCCATATGACAGAGAAGCATATTTTCTTTCTGGGTCTTTTTTGTCCTCTTAGTTATCAGCTTCTGGAAACTTGTTCTGAATGCTCTCCATTTGGTAAATTTGTTTACTTTTTGTATTCATTTCTATATTATCTCTTTGATCCTTCCAGAGAACCCTTTTTTCCTTTAAGAAACCACCACGGGTGTTAATTCACATTCTGTTCTTAAAAATGAAGTAGACAATTTTAAGGTAAATAAAATATATGTTATTGTCAGGTATATGGGATAAAAAGATAATCAGGATACTTCCTGCAGAATTTTCGGAATAGTCATTTATGTTAGAATTCTATCTCCTTGTGTCTCAATTTGAACTTTAGTCTTCTGAGCCAATTTGATCTTTAGATCATGGCAAATGCTTATTTACTGTTATGCCCATGGTTGAGTTCAAGTTCCAATAAACACTTTAGTTTGGATCGCTTTAGTTGTGGTACCAACAACCTTTAGCAAAGAAAATGTGGTACATTAATTTCTGCATAGTTATTTCCCACAATATTTTTCTGGCCTGTTTGCTTAGTGTGTTTGCTTTTGATTTCCCCGTGTTTTCCTTGTTTATATCCTACTAAGAGCATACTGACTTGTGCAAATTTTCACCTTTGAGAGTAAGTAAAAAAATTTTTTTCTGCCTTAGTTAAGGAAAAATTAATTCAGAGTATTTAAAAGTAGATGTTTATTATCCATAGTTATTGTTATGATTGAATCATTAATCATTACCGCCCCCACCCACTCTACCCCAAAATATCTGCTATGAATCCTAACCTCTATGCCTGTGGTTATAATCTTTTGGGTATGATTTCTTTTTTATAAGACCATATTAAGATCAACCTCCTTTGAGATAAATAAACAGGCAAGTGAGTAAACAGATGGACATGGAGATCTCAAAAACAAACAAACAAACAGAAGCAGAAGAAACAAGAACTTTCCTCAAGACCTATCAGAGGAAAAAAAAAATCTTTTCTGAGATCTGGTACTATGCATTCTGTTGTCTGGTATTCTAAACTATAGAAAATGAACTTCTGTTTGTAAAAGTGCTATTATCTAGCAGCACTAGATAATTATGACAGCTATAGAGAATTGCTTGAAATAAACTAAAGTTGCCATGTAGAAATATGTGGGAATTTATTTTATGGACTCCAAAGAGCTCTGGTGTTGTGTGGGCTAAGCGTTGTGCTGCCAACTTCAGAAACTGCAGTTTGATGGTTCAGACCCACTAGAGGCTTTCTGGGAGGAAGATGAGGCTGTTCGCTCCTGTAAAATTTTACAACCTTGGAAAGCCTGAATTGAGTCATCATGAGTTGAAATCTACTTGATGACAGTGTTTTTAAAATTTGTTTGTAAGTGTAATAGAAATTTGATTTTATAAGTGATATTGCCCAAAGGGTTACACTAAAGATAGTTTTAAACCTTTTTAGGGGTTTATAAAATATATGTTCTTTTGTAATCTCATTTTCCACTAAGTTTATTGACACACAGTTATCTTGGTATTTTCCAGCAGTCGGATTTTTTCCCCTGTGATTGAGTACTTTTCTTATCTTGATTTTTCTAATGTAGTGCCAAGAAATTACTTGAAATTGCATTGTTTAAAATAATTTCAAATACAAGATTTCTTTTTTTTAAGTTTGTGGATCTACCTAAAATGTACAGTTATTTTCTCACCCCCACATTGACTCTTAATGAATATAAGAAACTCATCGTCACCCGAGTCAATCTGACTCATAGTGATCTTCTGTGGGTTTCTAAGGCTGTAACTGTTTACTAGAGTAGAAAGTCCAGTCTTTCTCCCCTTATGCTGCTGGTGATTTTGACCTGCCAGCCATGCATATCACAGCCCAGCTTGTCACCACTATACCACCAGGGCTCTTCATTGAATACGTATAAGCAAATTAATTTATGCTATCCAAAGACATTGAAATTGTTAGGTGTTTAGAAAATGCATTCTAATCAATATACTGTAACTGTTGTTCAAATACAGTATAGAGAATGAACTCTTCATTTTTCAAAGTAAAAAGTTTTAATATGACTAAAAAAGACTTGGTTTTTCTCTAAAATTGAGGATTATATTGATTACTAAAGTTTTATCACAAGGAATTGTAAACTTGCACGATTTGAACTTTCTCAGACAACAATTCTCAGCCTAGACAAACCTTTCCCTTTCTGTGGCTTGGGTTAATACTTAGTTGTATTTTTAGTAGCATTTCTAACTCAATAGCTATGCAAGCACTGAGTGAAGATGGAGTCACAGGGCAAACTGGGCTTGTTTCCCAAGAGAGGGCTGGGAGTTGAGCAGGAAGGAAGGCCTGTTTGTCAGTGCTTTGCATGCAACTATGTCTGAGTAGGCTGCCAGCACTACAATGTCTCCCTTGTACAAAGTAACTCTCTTACTGAGTGGTCAGATATGCGAGGAAAAAGATTTTGGGTAAGGGAAGGAGGAGAACCTCTGTGTGTTTCAAAGAGATTGTTTTCATGTGTTTGTGGTGTGTGGCTTGCCGGGAGTTCGCTGTTTGTTGCTGTTAAGTCTGGCTTTGTTTTCAGTGGCATTTTAGACTTTTGAACAAGCTCTACTGCTTGCAGATTTAAAAAGTTGTATTTTTTAAAATGTGAACTTCATTTAAGAATATTTGTTTTTGATAAAAAGTTAAACCTGTACTTCTTGAACTCTGTAAGATTGAAATAATGTCTGTTTTAGGCATGAATTCTTTACTAGAATTATGATCTTTGCCTTGTAGTTTTTACTAAAATCAGAACTAACTCGTGATAAAAACTTTTTATAACTGTTTACTGCTGTTTAAAAAATAATAATGTTGATTTCAAGGATAATTTGCTTGTTTTAAAACTGTGGTAGTTACTTGTTTACTTTTTTGACTGTGATTTATCAAAAGTGTTACAGTTTTCTTCAGTTTTAACACTGTACTTTAACTCATTATTTTTCTTCTGAAAAGTTTGTGTTTACCATAATTGCTCTAATTTTTAGAATACTTGTTTTATTTTATCAACAGTATCTAATTGTCAGGCTACAAACAGCTAACTTTTATGGAGTTAGTACATGTTTTTAAAGTGTTTTGCTTTTAAATCTGTCTAGTGGAGTGTGACAATATGAACCGTTTTGACCGATCAGAAAGAAATGCTCGGCAGTCTCAGGAAGGATTTTGGAAAAGGCCACTTCAGAGGTGGAGTGGACAGGAACACTACCACCTCAGTCATCCTGACCACTATCATCACCATGGAAAAAGTGACTTGAGCAGGTGAGTACTATTATAACATACATTTTATTATCTCTGGTTAATTTTGAATCATAACTTTTCTAACATCTTTTTGTCTGGTTTTCAGATATACCAAAAACCATATCATAGTTACATATGGCCCTCATTGGAATGATATATAGCTATTTATTGTATATACAAAGGACTTATTAAAAAGCCTATTCCTACAAAAAAGACCTAAATCTTTTTTCTTTAGGTTCATTCATAATGCCTATTATTTGTATCTGATATTTGGACTTTTGGTTGTGGTATGATTTTTCTAACTCCCATTTGGGAATGATTAAATGTTGCCTTTGTCAAAAGGTTATTTATTATATTTCAAAATAATATCTGAAATAAATGCCATGTGACTTATTTTCTTTTGCGTAAGTGTTTGGTTTAAATTTCTTAATGAATTCCTGGAGTACTTTTAGAAACAGAAGAAGGTATGTGTGAAAGTCTTAAGGCTTGACTTTGTAACATGAAGGATGGCATTTAGTTATACGAAACCTTATGTACAATAGCACTTTGTAGTTATTCAAATATTGGATCTAAGTCTGATCAGGCAAAAATTAGCTTTGCAAGCTTAGATAAGCCATTTAGCCCCTATCTACTTCTGCTTACCGTCTGCAAGATGTATTTAAAAGTACCTTTCTCTCGGTGTTCCAGGATGAAGGTAAAGTGCCAAAAGCAGTGTCAGGCTTACAGTTGGCACCAATGATAGTTATTGGTGCTCTTAATTTTTTTCACAAGGGATTTAAGGTCATTTGGGAGTACAGTACTTCTAAAATACAAATATTAAGCATGGGATAAAGAGGACATAATATAAGAACATTAATAATTGGATGTGAGGTTGACATAGCATTTTTAATACAGTGAGAGCTGAAACTTGATGGGCTGATTTGTTTCCAGGCCTCACTAAGTTTTTCATCTTTGACAGAGCGCACCTTTCTGTTGCTCATTTTAATGGAAAATATTTGAGCTTTCCTTTTTTTAGAGGTTTTTTGCTTTTTACAGTTTCCACTTTTTGTGGGCCTACTGTAGGACAGACTTCTTGTTGCTGGGATGCTCAGAGTATATGAGAGATAATGTAGACAGTGATCTATAAGGGACTTCAGGAGCATATAGCAAATGATTTTTGTCTAGGTGTAGTACACAATAAAGGTAGCTAGTATTTAATTGATTCTAAAAGTGTTAATTGAAAGGTGTTTAGAGGGAAAAAATCTTCCAGATGGAAAAAAGCATGAGCCAAACAAATAGACAAACAACTGTGAAAGGGGTATGACATTTTCTTTTAATCATTTTATTCGGGGTTCGTACAACTCTTATCACAATCCACACATCCATCCATTGTGTCAATCACATTTGTACATTCGTTGCCATCATCATTTTCAAAACATTTTCTTTCTACTTGAGCCCTTGGTATCAGCTCCTCATTTTTTCCCCTCCCTCCCCCACCCTTCCTCCCTTACGTACCCTTGATAATTTATGAATTATTATTAATTTTTTTGTCATGTTTTACACTGTCCGATGTTTCCCTTCCCCCACTTTTCTGTTGTCTGTCCTCCTGGGAGGGGGTTATATGTAGATCATTGTGATCGGTTTCCCCTTTCTTGCCCTATCTTCCCCTTTCCCTTCTCTGAATATTGGTCCTCAGAGGGTTATCTTTCCTGGATTCCTCGTATTTCCAGCTGTTATCGGTACCTATGTACCTCCTCTGGTGGTCTAGTCAGATATGTAAGGTAGATTTTGGGGTCATGATAGTGAGGGGAAGGAAGCAATAAAGAACTAGAGGAAAGTTATATGTTTCAACGGTGCTATACTGCACCCTGACTGGCTCGTCTCTTCCTTGTGACCTTCTGTAGACAATTGGACATCCCCTTACAGAAGGGTAACAAGGGTATGACATTTTAAAAGAACTTACCAAGTTTATCTGAGCAGAATAGCTGGGTCACTTGGAAGAATGAATAAATATGATTTAAACACTAGATAGTACAAGGATCTTTTACATTTTAAAGCAAATGATGCCAAATTTCAACTTGAAGTGTGGCTATTATTCAGCCTGTCCAAAGTGCAATGAATTTTCTAGAAGTAGTAGCTTTCTCTGCCCCTGGCGAGATCATATGAGGCTGATAAGTCATCTGTCAGAGAAGTTAAACAACATTTTCTAAACTCTGTTCCCTTCTTGTCAAATATATAGGAACTCTGGTCAGATGAGTATGGAAATGAACAAGTTAAAATTACTATTTTTTATTGCAAGATAACATGATGCCTTTAATATGTGCGCATAGTACTATGATTGTATAAGAGGTGGTAGAAGATAAAATATTAATTTGGCAAATCCCCAAAAAACAGGAGCATAAATCATTTATTCACAATTTTTTGAGAGACTAGTGATCATCTATACCAGTGATTCTTGGCTTTTAGAGAGAAATGCACAACACATCTATCTCTATCTATCTATCTATCTATCTATCTATCTATCTATCTATCTAATCTATCTATAGATGGATCAATCAATAGATAATCATTTTATTGGGAGATTTTACAGCTCTCCTATCAATCCATACATCAATTATAGCAATCACTTTTATGCATATGGTGCCATCATCATTTTCTTTCTTTTTTTTAAATTTTTTTTTATTTTTTGCCATCATTTTCAAAACATTTTCTTCGACTTCAGCAGCTCTTCTTTTTCCCCTCCCTCCCCCATACTTGCACCCTCCCATCCTCATGAGTCCTTGATAAATTATAAATTATTATTATTCTCATATCTTCACCGTCTGCTGTTTCCCTTCACCCACATTTCTGTTGTTTGGCCCCGTGGTGTTAATACATTGATCATTGCAACCGGTTCCTCCTTTCTCCCTCCCTCACCCTCACCTTCTCCCTACCCTCATGGTATCACTAATCCCATTAGTGTACCTGGGGGCGTTATCTGTCCTGGATTCTGTGTGTCGAGAGCTCTTACCTGTACCCATCTACCTGCTCTGGTCTAGTCTGGTTTGCAAGGTAGAACTGGGGTCATGATAGTGGGGGGAGGAAGCATTAAAGAACTAGAGGAAGGTTGTGTTGTTTCCTAGGTGCTGCGCTGCATCCTGGCTGACTTCTGCCTTCCTTGTGACCATTCTTTGAGGGAAATGCACAATATTTTTAAGGGTGACTAATCTGACTCGTGTTGGCAGAATTTCCCAACAACTGGCCGGAGACATAGCAATAATGTCCTTGATGGTTACTGGTGTGCTAGTTAACGTTGCCTGCATGATTTACGGTGATCTTACGGGCTTTGGGATATTTAGATTCCTTAGGGCCAGTTATGGGAGTGGACCTTTAGAACAAAAGCTTTTAAGAGAAGCCTTACCCCAGCATACTTAAACATTTTTTTCTCTTTATGTATTATTAAAAAAGATTTGGATATACTAAACCCTGGGATCTTTGTAGTATATGTCAAGTACAAAAGGTCTTTTTTCCCATTGTATAGCTTATTGTGTGGAAGTTCCCTCTCTTTTATCTCTGAGCTCTAACTTCTGCCACTGTCATGGTTAATTATAGGATTATGCTTTGTCCGTAACTCAGAAGTACTGGGGAGATTGTTAGTTCAGGACCATTGCTCTGCTATCTCTCATATTATCATCATCATTAGTTACCCCCTCCCCCTATTTTGACATTTTACTCCTTTTCTTTTCAGACCTCCCTTTTCTACACGCATCTCCCACTTTGCTCTGTGTTCTCTCACATTCTAACAAATTCATGTCTTTGACCTCTTCTGCATTACTTTTTCCATTAGTCATCATTTTCATTCTTTTACATACAGAAGAACATCTAGTTCCTCGGCATCATTTGTAAAAAAATACTATTCTCTATCGTCTCATCACTGTTGTTGAAACCCAGTTGCTGTCAAGCTAAGGCTTTATTTCTAGACTTGCAGTTTTATTTCTTTGATCTATATGTTTATCCTTAATGATTGTTACCGATTTTTTCCCAACACCCTGAGGTAAGGCTATTGGCACTGTGCGAACTCTGAAAGAAATAAAGAAGTACTCTGAGAATAAGCCTTGCATAAGGAGCCACCAGACAGGTCTTTTTGGAGAGTTCTAGCTCTATCTACTCTACCCCTTTATTTGCAACCTGTTTCACTGTGTGTGTGTGTGTGTGTGTGTGTGTGTGTGTGTGTGAGAGAGAGAGAGAGAGAGATTATCATGTTTTGTTTTTGTTTTTTTAACATTTTATTAGGGGCTCATACAACTGTTATCCCAATCCATACACACATCAATTGTGTAAAGCACATTTGTACATCGTTTCTCAAAACATTTTCTCTCCATTCAAACCCCCGACATTAGGTCCTCATTTTTCCCCTCCCTCCCCGCTCCCCCCTCCCACATGAGCCCTTGATAGTTTATAAATGGGTATTTTGTCATATCTTGCCCTGTCCGACGTCTCCCTTCATCCACTTTTCGGTTGTATGTCCCCCAGGGAGGAGGTCACACACAGTTCCATGTAATCGGTTCCCTGAGATTATCATGTTTTTAAGACTGTCTTAGACTTAGAGCTGGGAAGTAGAGTTTAAAATACAATAAATTAAAACCACAGAATTCACTGTTCTCATTAAGATTGAGCACTCTTTGTTGAATAGTACTCCAAGGTTTTATTTGTTCTCCAGATATTTGAAAAAGTTGATTTTTTGGCAAATTTTATAAAAGGGAGGGGATTTTGGGAGGTCTTTACCATTCCAGATGTATTTCTTCCTGCTAAGCTTAAAATATATATACATATATAAACAACTATGAGCATAAATATAAATATATTTAAATTTCAATATATAATTGCTACTAGTGGTTAGAAAAGAAACATATATGTATATATATCTCTCTTTAATCATAATTCCAGGAGATTCTTCTAAAACTATAATAAAATGCTTATGTGTTAATCTAATTGTTAGGTCTGTGAATGGAATATCAGATGTTGATAAAGTATGCACATTCAATTAAAATGAATGTAAGAATAAACACAGGTATCTGTTAACATTCCTTTTATAGTTTTCTGTGCTTATTTGGTTTCTTTTTTATTTCATTGACTGTATTTTTGTGATAATGTACGCAGGTGATAATGGTGATAGTAAGCATTTTCTTTCTCATACTTCTGAATTCACTTTTCACCTTTTCCCATGTCTCTACTAGATCAGTTCTTCATTTCTACTAGCCATCCTGACCTGTGAGTGGTCACATAGGGTCCCCTTTGACAGGACACTGCTGGCCTTCTAGTATGTCTCCCATAGCAAGTTACTACCTTTGATTGCTTTCTTTTATTACTTAATTTTTCCCCTTATCTGGGCTGAAAGCCCATGATAACTATAATATGTCCTGAAGCATAACTCTGTGCCTGATGAATTAATGTAGGCTGTTATGTACAGCGCTCCCCTTTTTGCCTTATCTTTATTTTCTATTATTATTCAACCATATATTTATCCTCGGAAGGACATTTTATCTATATACAGAAATTATTTGTGTTACTGTATCTGGCAGACTGAAGATTTGGGTGTATTTTTGTTTTGAAGATTTAGGTTCTCATGTATGACGTGCATCAACATTTTAGAATCAGAAATTTAACAATCCTCACTATCTTTTTTTTGTCTTTGTAGTCTTCTTTCATTTTCTGAAAATGACTGCCGTTGTATATCCGCTTTGTGCCCTCCTGCATTTAAAATTTTTCAATCATAATTACTTTTCCAAGCAAATTTCAAATGGTCTTCCAATGAAGGGAAGACCTTCATTGCTACCAGCAATTTTTTGTTAATTGGTTTTTTAATCACAGATATAAAGCTTGTGCATCGATATTTTAATAATCAGCAAATAAAGGTAAAGGTTATTATGGTGGTTCTTGTGATTGATATTTTCTGATTGATAATGGTATCAGTATAAAGAAGTTGGAAATTTTTTGTGTTAACAATAGTAATAACCACAGAAAAACCCCAAACCCACTGCTGTCCAGTTGATTCTGACTATGGTGACCCTATGTAGGATTTCCAATGTTTTGTAAATCTGTATGGTAGCAGACAGACTCATCTTTTTCCTGTGGAGCAGCTGATAAGCCTGAACCAGTTACCCAATAGTGCCATCAGGACTCCTTACAATATTAATAGGTTTTTATTTAGCATATATGCATACATATACCCGCAAACAAACAAATGTGCTAGACATTATTATAAGCAAAACTATCTGTTAGATTGGAATGGCATTGTGCAGTAAGCATTGAATTGCTGCTTGCAAAGCTGGCGGTTCAAAACCATCAGCTGCTCTGTGGGGGAAAGAGTTACCAGTTTCAGAAACACTATAAATGATCACTGTGTTAGTCCGGGTAGACTAGAGAAACAATTTTCAGGGAGACTCATATGTATAGGAAAGAGTAATTATATATGAAGAAAGCATCTCAGCCCAGTTCAGATCAAGTCCCTAAGTTCGATATTAGCCCATAAGTCTGATATTAGCCCATGAATTCCTCTTCAGACTCATGTAGCACATGAAAAGATGCTGAATGCAGGAAGATCACAGGCCAGTGGATGGAAAGCCCTGTGGGTCCCGTGGCATTGGAAACATCTCCAGGGTTCTGACTGCTATCAGCGTGGCCCCATGTAGCTTGCCAACAGGAATGTGAAGCAGAGTGTGTCCTGCCCTCCAGGGAGGAAGAGAGGAAGTCCCAGAATCTTCATGAGAAGGCCACCCCCCAAGGAGGCCTCAATCAGGCTGTGACCTGATGATCAAGTTGACATGAAATTATATAACTACCACATTCACTACGAGTCATAGCAATTTGATGGCAGTCGGGTGTCTGTTCCTGTAATGCCATGCAGTGTTCTAAGCACTATTTAATTTTTATACCAACCTTATGAGTTATGTATTGTTATACACCTCATAGTATAGATAAGGAAAATGAAGCATAGAGTGTAAGTACTCTTTCAGTGTGCTGTATGGCTAGTAAGTGGCAGAGCTAAGATGTAGCACATGGATTCTACATGGATGGTCTCAGAATGAGTAAGACACAGTTGCTGTCTTTAAAAGTTTTACAATCTGAGTAGGGTGGGTACATATATAAATTCCTTAATTTTATGTTGTAATGTAAGTTAAAGCTCATGAAAATGTTGTTTTATCTAATTCATGAGAATAGGCAGGGTTTCCTGGAGGATGAGACATATTAGTTAGACCAGAAGATAAAAACTCACTTTTGGATTTCATGCTGGAGCTATTGGAAATACAGCCTGTAAGACATGCACATAAATTCATAGTGACTAATTGATCAGTATTTGAAACTTGACAACTTTGAGCAAATAAATCTAAAGCAGTACTATTTGTCTCTAAATTAGGGATGTACGTATTAATAGTTTTAAAATTCATCAAAATATTTTTAGGATATTAAATAAAAGCCAGGCCTGAAATTATGTATGAAAGAGGTCATGTTAAAGAAAAAGAAAAAAGTGAAAACTAAATTCATATTGCCTAAGAATTCAGAGATGTGTGAGTGGTTCTTAAAAGGTAGAAACTTTAGTAGAATCCATGTTTGTATAGAATTGTCAATCTGTCTCAAATGTAGTGTATGGTGAATTTAATGTTAACCTATATATGAACATGCCCATGATATTGGAAAGAATGATTTTTCACTGCATTATTTTAAGTATTGAGATTTCACAGTGAACGAGCAAAGGTCTGAGTGGCCGGGCTGACCCTTATCGCAGCTACATCGACCTCTCTCCCCAGGAGAATGCACTATAGAGGAAAGCTCTGAAGATACAGCCGGGGAGAGTGTCAGGTCTTCCTAGACCATGTGGGAGGAAACTGTACAAATATGCCTGATACAATTGACGTATGGACTTGAGTAGAGGCCCAATGTACATATGATACCTTAATACTTAACCTGTAATATATGTACATAGACCTAAATCTCTACCATTAAATACTAATATATTTATATATGTACATGCCTATATTTCTACCTGTATAAGTCTCTCTGTCTGTCTGTCTCTCCCTCTCCTCAATGCAAGAACACTTTGTTCCAATAACCTGGCATTCTGTGATGCTCACCTAAGAACAAGCATTCAATGTACAAACAGAATAAGCATTCTGTTTTGTCTTTTTAGGTTTATTTTGACTTAGTGTTAAATAGTAAAAAATTCAGGGAGGAGAACAGAAGATAGTTTTAATGACAATTAGAAATGATTGGATCAGCAGAAACAGATTCCTTGACTGAGGGGATGCAAGTTGCAGACTTTGTTATAATTAAAAATGACTTGTAATGATATCTTTATTTTATTTCTTTCTAAAAATATACTGTATATCTCTACCCTCTCCCTACCTTCTTTCTATATACTTCTAGAGGCTCCCCTTATCGAGAATCTCCTTTGGGCCATTTTGAAAGCTATGGGGGTACCCCCTTTTTCCAAGCTCAGAAGATGTTTGTAGATATACCAGAAAATACTGTGATATTGGATGAAATTACCCTCCGGCACATGGTCCAAGATTGCACTGCAGTAAAAACTCAGTTACTGAAACTGAAACGTTTGTTGCATCAGGTGAGTAGATACTAAATATTTCAGATTCCGTCTGAATTGCAAATTGATTGGCTTAGAAAATTGTGTTACTAGGTTTCCTGATATCTACTTAGATCTGTAGGAGTCCTTGGTTGGTGTGTATGTTAAGCACCTGACTACTGATAGATCAAAATATTCAGAGGTACATTGCAAATCCAGATTGATAATTAGCTATTCAAGGCCACAGCCATGAAAACTTGCTGGGGCAGTTCTACTCTGCGACACGTGAGGGTGCCGTGAGTTGAATTAGCTCAACAGCCACAGATGTTTCTTTAATTGACATCTCAGAAATAATACATGCATATCGTTTGTGTGCTATATACTGTTTTGAAGGAAAAAACATATTAGTTTTTGCATCAGGTCTTGGTACGGTCTCTAGCATTATACCTAAGGGATATTTGGTAAGTCAACCATTCTGTTTCTGTTTACTCTGTTTTATAGACCCTCCAATGCAAGAGTGTAGTACTAATACCTGTACATTCAGTAATTGATCCCTGCTACTGTAATTTCAGCTAACTAGAGAATGAGAAACCATAGCAGCTTTCATATAGTAGACATATTTTTCTATTAACTTTACCTTTGGTAGGCACATAATTTAAATTTTGGGTGGAGCATTCAGGTTGAACCCCATTTCTTTGATTTTTTTTAATTGAAAAAATTTGCACTTATGACAGTGTTATGATTTTCAGAGTCACATGGTGAGCTTCTGGTAGCACCTGGCTTCACAAGAATTTAGCACAGAGAGATGTAAGATCCAGATGCAAAACAAGAAATCAAGGAGTAAAATGCTAATTAACTCGATACCTTTTACTTGTTGTAAATCTGTATTGTGTTTTGTATACTAGCTATTCTTTCTGCTCACTGGTCACCTTTCTTATTGTTAAGTGTCTTCATGGTAGCTCTAATTCATAGCACATCTATGTACAACAGAATGAAATCCTGCCCAGTCCTGTACCATGGTCACAACTGTTGTTTGAGCCCATTGTTGCAGCCACTGGGTCAGTCTAACTCATTGAGAGCCTTCCTTTTTTTCATCGTTACCATCATGATGTTTTTCTCGGACTGGTCCCACCTGATAATATCCCAAGGACGTGAGACAGAAGTTGCCATTCTCAATTCTAAGACACAATCTTAGCTGTACTTCATAGGAGACAGATTTCCTTTGCTCTTCTGGCAGTCCATGTACTACCAATATTCTTCACAAACACCATAATTCAGACACATCAATTTTTCTATCTTTCTCTTCATTGTGTTGATCTTTGTCTTCATTGTCTAGCTTGCATAGGAGGTGATTAGAAATACAGAGGCTTTGGTCAGGCCCACCTCAGTTCTCAAGGTGACATCTGTCTTTTAGAAAACTCCCCAGAGGTTTGGTGCAGTAGATTTATCCAATGCATTGTGTCCTTTGATTTTGTTTTGTTTTGAAGATCATTTTACTGGGGGCCTTTGCAGTTCTTCTAACAATCCATACACCAATTTTATCAAGCATATTTGTGCATATGTTGCCATCATCATTTTCTAAACATTAACTTTCTATTCGAGCACTTGGTATCAGCTCCTCTTTTCCCCTCCTTCCCCCACCCTGGTGAACCCTTGATAAAATATAAATTATTATTATCTTTATATCTTACACTGGCCACTGTCTCCCTTTACCCACATTTCTGTTGTTTGTCCCCTCCTTTGATTTCCTGAATGTTAATTGTGGATCTAAGTAAAATGAAATCCTTGAAAACCCCATTCTTTTTTCCATTTATCATGATGTTGTCTAATTGTCCATTTGTGAGGACTTTTGCTTTCTTTGCACTGAGTTGTAATTTATATTAAGACCGTAATCCTTGCTTTTCATCAGTGTTTCCAGTCTTTTTCAATTTGAGGAAGCAAGGGGATGTCATCTGCATATTTCAGTTTGTTAATGAATCTTCCTCTACTCTTCCTGCGGCACTTCTCACATTATTTTCTCTATATACAGGTTGAATAAGTATGGGGGAGAATCCAATTAGACTTCAACGTTTCCTGATTTAGAACTATGCAATATTCCCTTGTTCTGTTTGAATCACTGCCTCTTGGTCTTTATACAGGTTTTATCTAATCACAATTATTTTGGAATTCCCTTTATCCTCACATTGTTATGGTACACATAGTCAAATGCAATTGCTTAGGAAATAAATAACAGGTAAAGATATTCCTGGCATTTTCCAATTATAACCAAGATCTATCTTATGTTAGCAGTGATGGAGGGGCAAAGAAAAATGAGCTGATAGCAAAGGCTCAAGTAGAAGGAAAGTGTTTTGAGAATGATGAAGGCAACAAATGTACAAATGTGCTTGACACAATGGATGTACGTATGGATTCTGATAAGAGCTGTAAGAGGCTCCAATAAAATGATTTTTTAAAAAGCAATGATAATCCCTCATTCACACACTCTAAATCCAAAATGAAATTCTGGAAACTCTGTTTATTAACTTCTGCAACCATTTGCTAAAATTACCTTCAGTAAAATTTTATCTATTTGTGATGTTTATCTACGTGTGATACTGTTTGATAATGTCTACACTCTGTTGTGTCCACTTTCTTTGGAATAAGTAAAAATAAGCTTTTGTTTTTCTCTTTAAAAATAATTTTATTGGCATTTGATTCACATATTACACAATAGAATCATTTGACCATATTTTGAAAAATTATGCAATCATCACCAGTTTCCAAACATTTTCTGAAACATTGCAGTTAGCTCTCAATTTCCTCCTATCCTCTTCTTCAGCCCCATCTGTACATAATTATTAATGTAGTTACTGTCTCTGTAAATTTACCTATCTTGCATTTTATATACAGAAAATCATACAAAACACAAACCAGAAACAGAAAATAACCCCAACAACAATGATAAAACAAAACAGAGAAAAGCCTTAATGTAAGAGAAAGCAGAAACTATTAAAAACGGAAACAACTTTAAAATGGTTAACAAGGGAAGCCAACTGATAAGGTGTTACATTTTAATTTAACTGCATATGCAGCCATCATTGACTACGATGCTCTCTGTCTGATAGCAAGGCTGTTCACATCCTTAAACTGTGATGAGAGGGAGCCTTAATCCATGTGGAAACCCTGCAAATGTATTTGGGCCTTCTACTTGTAATTGTGATGGAAGATTGAGACAGCTTATCTAGTGTGGAACAACCTGTTGGTTTGGATTTTTTTTAGCCAATTGGCTGTCTTCCAAATTTCTTGGCATAGACTAGTAAATGATTTCAGAGCTGCATCACTTTGTGGAAGCATTTCAATTGGTTATCCTATCAATTCTTGGAGCCTTGTTTGCTTGTTTTTTCTAATGCTTTCAAAGAATCTTAGTCTTCGTCCTTCGATACCATTGATTTTTGATCATATGCTACTTCTTGAAATAATTGAATGCCCACAAATTATTTTAGTCAGTGCCTCTGTATTCCTTCCATCATCTTTTTATGCTTTCTGCATCATTCACCATTTTCCCAAAGAATTCTTCATTATTGCAACTTGAAGATTAAATGTTTTCTTTTACTTTTTTTCAGCTGTAGATAATGCTGAGTCTGTTCTTTTTGGGTTTCTAACTCCAAGTCTGCACGTTTCACTGTAACGCTCACATTGTCTTCTTGAGCTGCCTTTTGAAATTTTCTGTTTAACACCATTTCCTCCATTCACTTAGCTGCATTGTGTTTTAGAGTTCCTTCTGACATCCACTTTTGTGTCTTATTTTTCTTTTCTTTCATTTTAGTGATATTTTGTTTTCTTTATGTATAATGTTCTCAATGTCATCCTGCAAATCATTGTGTCTTTAGGTACTAGATTTTAATACATAGGTTCCTAGACATATTTGACTGACTACCCTCATTTGGGGTGGGAGGGAAAGATTACTGAGTGCCCCCTGTCAATTAAAACGTTTGTGCCGGAGTTCATATCCTGGGATAAAGTGTAGGTATTTGCTTTTACAGCCCTCCTGGATTATTCCAGAGGTCATTCTCACCCACTTGGGAAGCATTGGACTTTAATACTTCAAAACTCTTCCTAAAATGTTCTCAAAAGTCTGGTGAGCTATACTGAAGGTTATATTTTGGGTCTCGCATATTTGTTTAATTTTCTTAAGCTTCAACCAGAACTTGCATATGAGCAGTTTGTGATCTGCTCCACAGTCAATCCTGGCCTTGTTTAGGCTGATGATATTGAGCTTCTCCGTTGTCTCTTGCCACAGATTTAGTTACTTTGAATTTTGTGTACTCTGCCTGGCAAACTCCACATGCATAGTTACTGTTTATGTTGTTGAAAAAGGGGTTTGTAATGAAGAAGTTGTTGGTTTTGTAAAATTCTATCACGTAGTTTCCAGCTTCACTTCTTTCATCAAGGGTATATTTTTCACATACTTTCACATTCCAGTCAGTGCATCTTGATTGCATGTTTGATCAGTTTCACTGAAGAAATTGGTAGAATTATTTAGTTTCTTTATAATTGACTATTATTGTTGGTTCCTAAGTTTGAATGATAAGTGTATTAACTGATCTTCCTTGACTCTATAGATAGTGTCCTATCACAGGCAGTATTGTGCTTGTATATCTTGAAACACTTTGTGATGAAGAGTGCAGCACTATTCCTCTTGAATGATAAATGCAGCACCATCCTCACCTTTCATAGAATTTTGTTTATTGACATTTTATGAATGACTGCCAAGTAACAGAATTCTTGTTGATCATCATGCTCAATAAGTGCTTCTTAATGTGAAGTATAGGTCTTTTAATATTAGTGATTAGTGTAAATATTCTGTTAAAGGCATGAGAATTGTTTGTTTTAGATTATAAGGACTGCTCCTGTCTAATGTATACACTTTTTAAAAGGAACTATTTTTAAAAGGAAAAATTTCTATGCTAAATTGGTAGCAAGAAAATATATGATCTCTTAGGATCTGAGATTCCTAGACATTCATTTGAAGCAGAGATTCCAAAATTGAAATGCTAAAACTGTGCTTACATCTTAAGATAGTTTAACTGTAGGTAGAATATTGGCTCTGCCATATATATAATATTTCTCTGATGTGTGGACTAGGGAGAGGGTTTTTTTTATTACAGTTTCAGATTAAAAAGGGATGGAAATAACTGACATGTTAAAAATGTATCCGGAGTCAACTATTTTCCTAGTTCTTCCAAGTACCTCCTGTTGTATCTGAGTTTGTTGCCTTGAATTTTGAATAATTTTAAATTAGCAACTATTAAGAGCAGGCCATCTCTGAGAATGAAAGAAAGAGCATAATTCAGGAAAGAGTAAGGGTATTGAAAACAAATGATAAATACCATAAAGACAGAAAAATGTCTTTTAAAAAGTGTTTCAATTCACTTATCATACAATTCAGTAGTTCAATCATACTTAAAAAGTTGTACAATCATTTTCACAAGCAATTTGAGAACATTTACTCCTTTCTTGTATTCATGGTTATCAGTTTCCCATTTCTCCCCAACCTCCCCTGTCATACCCTGCCCCCACCCCTTAAGAATCCTTCAATGCAGTCAGATACTCTATGGCTTTACCCATCCTGGATTTTATATTTTTAAAAAAGTAGACAAAAATTACAGGGGAAAAAAGAATAAAACCACAACATGCTGCATGATAGCAAGGCTATTCAAATCCCTGGTTTATGATCAGAGGGGATTCATTGGAGGGCTAATCTGCGTGTGGACCCTATGAATGGTTTTGTGACTCCTCATATCATCCATAACCTTCTGTAAACCAGGTCTTCACAATTTACGCTCTGATACCATTCCCTTTCAGGTTTGGATTTTATTATTTATAATCGTTGGATCACACAGACTGGTGTGCTTCTTGCATGTGAACTTAGTTGACAACTCACTTAGATGGCTTCTTGTTTTAAGACAAGCTGTTAAGCATGCCCCTAGACACTATTCTTTCTAATAGCTAGGCACCATGTAGTTGCTTTGCCACATTTTGCTTTAGTAACCATATCTTCAATGTTCTCTTCATGTAGAGGGTGAGCATCATCAAGCAGGACCATGTCATAAGAACTAATTGTTCTTAGATTGTGACTAGAATTAAGGGTGAGCCCCAAATCCATTCACATATCTACAAAAAAACAATGTCTTTTGAGGCGCTTTATGTCTTTGCTATCATTTTTACCTCTGGAATTTGAATAATACATACTGATCTAATTGATTTTACTATTTGTTGTACAATAAAAACAAAATTAGGAGACCAAAACTTCATAATCTTAACAGAATATGTTCAAATTTTCCCAAAATACTGATAGAAAACTTTCACAAAAGTTCATGAAAATTACTTAAAATTTTTAAAATATTATTAAATCTTTAGTAATTGATACATTGTATATTTTAAAGAGAAGTTCTGATACTGAAAGGCTTACTAAAAAACCAGCATTTCTATCTACTTCTCCCCCTTAGGCTACCAGTTACTGTATTGAGCTTGTGTAATGGGATGATTGTTCATCCATATATCTTGGTATGGATCTATGAGTATGTACGTCTGCCTGTTCTTTTTTAAAAGAAAAATAAATCTGTCTTTCCCCTTCCTCTGCCTTTGCTAAGACTCTTCTTGGGTTTGTGTTGTAGCTTATCTGAAACACAAGGCAGCTTTGTTGACATCACTAATGATGCTTGTCAACAAAGGTTGTTCATTGGAGCCAGCTCCTCTTCTTGTTGGTCATTTAAACTAGTAGCTGTGTCCATTTCAGCTGCCCTGGAGCTCATAGGAAAATCTCAGTATGTTCAATTTCATGGAAGAACCGGTTGGGTAAGATGGATTTTTTAACAGAATTTTTCAATAGGCTTTCATGTGAGAGAGTTCTAGTACTAGAACTAAAATTTACTTTAATGCTGTGCCAAAGAAATCTTTAATCTGTTTTGTCTTTGGAAAAAAATGTGAAAAGTGATTTGCTGGTCTTCAAATGCACTTAAACTAGAGAAAGTTTCATTCACCTTTCTGAATTTTTAGTAATTTGAATATAGGTAACATGTAATATAAATAAGCTTAAATTCCTAATGAAAACCTGTAGAAATGGCTAAGACAGGTCAATAAAACAGCCCTGGATGATCATTTAACTGCTGTTGAATGAGTAACTTTCTGGACAGTGATATGATATAATATGTATGTGTTTTTTCTGCATCTATGTATTTATTAAATACATTTATACAGTATGCTTAGCGCAATATTCAGCACATAGTAAGTGGTCAATAAGTGTTAGCTCCTTGTTGTATGTGCTGTAAAGCATGAAGAAGCCCTAATGGCACAGTGCGTTAAGTGTTAGGCTGCTAACTGCAGGTTCTCTGGTTCAAATTCCCCAGGCACTCATCAGGAGGAAGATAAAACCGTCTCCTCCTAGAAAAGATTGAGAGTCTTGGACACTTTAAGGAAGGAGCAGTTCTACTCTGCCCTGTAGGGCCATTGTGACTTGACGGTAATGGTGGTTTTGTGAAGCACGAACATTGCAAATGTGATGGCTATTTCTGCAGTGTTCTTTTGAAAAAGCATGTTTTTTGTTTTGTTTTTTTAAATCCTATCCGATGCTTTAAAAAGCTTTTCACAAAGAGTTTCCTAATTTTGACCTAGATTAAATACAAGATGCTAACTTTGGTACCACTCTCAAAGTTCCTGGAAGAGGGGATATGATTTTCTTAGTTGATTCAGTGGAGAGTACACATGTGATTTACTGTAAGCTCTTACACATAATAGAAATAATGCCTTTTCTAGTAACATTTCAAATGTAGATTGTCTTATGAAAAAAGAACTGTTTTATATTTTTTTAGGTATAGCAGTGTTAAATATTAATAGCTCCTAATTTGGGCTATATTATAGAATAATTCTTTCCATTCTCAAAAATACTGTGTGAAATTTTTAAACTATTTTCTTTAGTAGTTTGAAGTCTACTGAGGTTACCTATTTCATCGTTGAGTGGTTCTTAAAGAGCATCCCTATTTCATCTAAGTTGTCAAGTTTGTGTGCATAAGTATTCACATATTTCGCACAGTTACTCACTTATTTACTTCTGACACTTGAGGGGGTTCTTGATGACACTATCCTTACACTCATACTTGATATGTACCTTCTGTACCCTCACCTTCCCTCCACCCTCCCTGTATTGCCACTCTCAGCACTGGTTCTGAAGGAATCATCTGTCTTGGATTCCCTGTGTTTCTAGTTCCCCTCTGTTCCAGTGTACATCCTCTAGTCTCACCAGATTTGTCAGGTAGAATTGGGATCATGATAGTGGGTGGAGAGGAAGCATTTAAGAACTAGAGGAAAGTTGTATGTTTCATCGTTGCTTCCCCTCACCTTGACTGGCTCGTCACCTCCCCGCAGCCCTTCAGTAAAGGGGTGTCCACTTGCCTACAGATGGGCTTTGGGTATCTACTCTGCACTCACCCTCAGTTACAATGATATGATTTTTTGTTCTTTGGTGCCTGATCCCTTTGACACCTCGTGGTCACACAGGCTCGTGTGCTTCTTCCAAGTGGGCTTTGTTGCTTCTGAGCTAGCTGGCTGCTTGTTTATCTTCAAGCCTTTAAGACCCAGATGCTATATAAGACCCAGATAGCCAGGCACCATTATCTTTCTTCACCACATTTGATTATGCATCTATTTGTCTTCAGTGATTGTGTCGGGAAGGTGAGCATCGTGGAATGCTAATTTAATAGAACAGAGGTTCTTGCATTGAGTGAGTACTTGAGTCTAGGTCCAATGTCCATCTGCTGCCTTAATACTAAACCTATAAATATTTGCATGTAGATCTATTTCCCCACCATCCTATATGAATATATTTACATATGTACATGCCTGCATTTAGACCTCTAAATGCCCTTTGCCTCCTAGTTCTTTCCTCTATTTACTTTTACTTTCCTCTCATCCCACTATCATGCTCAGCCTTCATTTGGGTTTCAGTGATTTCTCTGTTACATTGCCCTTGCTGAATCCCTCTGACACTCTCCTTCCCACTAATTTTGGATTATTTGTTGCTCCCTTGTCCCTGGGTTGGTCAACACCACCTCCTTTCCCCCATAGCCCCCTCTCCCATGTCCCCCCGGAACCATCGGACCCGTTGTTTTCTCCTGTAGACTGTTTATCCAGCCTATCTTTTCTAGATGGATTTACAGAGATAATAATATGCATCAAAAAACAAGGCATAGCAAGACGAATCGACAAAAGAGAACACAAGGACAACAAAAAAGAAAGCCAATGACCCAGAAAAGAATAAATTAATGAAAAAGAAAGAAAAACCTGTAAATAGATCAAGGTCTGATTTTTGACCTCTAGGCATGTCCTCCAGTCAAGTCCTATGGGGTGCCACACTCTGCCCCAAATCTATGTGATAGGATTTTCAATGGCTGTTTTTCCAAAGTAGACATCAGGCCTTTTTTCTGAGGCATCCGTGGATGTGCTCGAACCACTCACTAACTTTTTGTTAGCAGAGAGCTTTTGTATTTTCTAGGGACTCCTGTGTTCATTTAGTTAGAAGTGTGGTTTTTTTTACTTCTGAGTATTTTGGAGATAATCCCGTTGCTGCTTATTGCTGCTTAAATTCTATTATGGTGAAAAAGCGTACTTTATGTATTTCTAAATCTTATAAATTGAGCTTCTCCTGTAGGTTCATGTTTATTTGTGTCCAGTGGAACAGTTTTGTCTGGAATTAATTCAGGTAGAAGTGCATGTTTGGAATTATTAATCTTTTGTGTTTATCTTTTCTTTCTGACAGCATGATGGAAGTGGTTCATTACATGATATTCAACTATCATTGCCATCTAGTCCGGAACCAGAAGATAGTGATCAGATATGTAAGGTATGATAAAATTATCATGTGAAATTTTCAACCATAAAGTGATATCAATCTTTATTATTCCAACCATAAAGTGATAGCAATCAAAATGTATAATGTATCGATATTTTGATACCTTGATCTGTTTTCAGTGATATCCTTGTTGCTTTAATTTCAGGTTTTTTCACCAGGAGAATTTGTCCTTGTATTTTTACTGATGCATAATTTTTTTTAAAACTATTACTTTTAAAAGGCAAAGAACTCATTTTAAAATATAATTACCAGTAAAGATCAAAATTGAAAAGGTATTCCTCATCCATAAACTCAACAGAAAAAAAGCATATTAAACAAGAGTTTTTTTGTGTTGTTCATTACTTTCATGTTTAAAAATATAATTATGGAATTTAGGAGCATTTTAATGAGTATTATTAGAAAATTATAGAGCATTTATTAATTTGGTGTTTATTATATAATTTAATAGAACCAAGTATACTAACCATGTTGTGCTAGCATTACCATATCTATTGATTAATTTTCAATTACCATAAATAGGAACTCAGTGTTTCTTAAATACAGTGAACCCTCGCCACTTCGCGCTTCGACTTCCGCGGCTTCACTCTATCGCGGTTTTTGGGTAACAGCGCACGCTCTGTCATTACTGCCACTGATTGGCTCATACTGTACACGCTTCTGTCTGCATCGCTACGTATTGGAGCTACGTATGC